TTACCAATGTCAATTTTGGTGCATCATGATTTCGTGTTAAAAAAATAAAACAACTTCCAACTAAACGATTAACAAGATAACATTAGTGAACTTTTCATTTTTTCACAAATTTTATTTGTTAAATTTCTTGGTGTTTTCTAGAGACGCTAAACAATATCAAAATTATATAATAATAATTTATGCAATAAACAAAAACGTTGAATGATGTTGGCCAAAATAGGTATTTAAAAATTTTAGTATAAACGAAGATAATAAAATAAATATGATAATAAAATAATTATCTTCGTTAAAAAATATATTATAATGCACTAGGGCTATAAAATCAAATGTCAAGCCTTACTCCATCCTTAAAGCGGCGTTGGATTGGACTATAATGATGGACACGTATGAAAAACAATATAAAATCCCCGAGGATATTTGTGCGTTGGCCTCCAGACCGGATATATTTTTGTTTTCGCGTATTTTAAAGCGCGTAGTGATGATAGAGCTTACGGTTCCTTTTTTATATGTAAAAAGTGGCAAACGAGCAGACGGCCCACTTGATGGTCAGTAGTGACCGTCGTCCATGGAAATCCACAACATAGATGTTGCGGATGCGTTGCCACCCTTACTTGTGGGGGAAAAGGGAGGGGTTGGAATAAGGAAATATAAGGTGAGGTTGGGAACAGGGAAAGGGGATACGGCTCTCTCACTCATCGGACGAAACGCAGTCATTACTGACTACTTCACGCCGATATTCTGTGAGAGGGTGGTACTTCCCCGGTCGAGCCAGCCCACATTCGAGCTGTAGTAACTAAACTACAACTAGGCTCTACCACCTATAAAAACCAACATCCTTGGGAAACCAACATCCCCAAAGACCAAACCATCAAGGTCAACAAATACTACGAGCTCACAAACGAACTCACTCGAAATAGGTTCGTAGTAGATTTGTACGCGGTAGAGGTGGGAGCGAGAGTTATAACAGCGAAATCTCTCTACAACATACCAAAAGACTTGGGCTTGTCCAGTACTCACATTAATGCATTCTTGGAACGTACATCGAATTCAGCCCTAGTAGGTTCTTTTCAAATTTGGTTAGGTAGGGAGAGGAGCTTGGACAGTGGAGGTGAGCGTATAACGCGCGTTAGTTAAGGGGCCCCTTAAACCTACACTTTGGTCGCAAGTCCCAGGCACTGTTGAAGCTCCTCTCCCTGCAACGCGATGGACCCGGCACCCGCACGGTGAATCCATGGAATGCTGAGAAATTTCGTCTCGTCTCTATAATTGCAACCTTTTCATACATACATTTATCTGGAAGTTAAAATGCTTCTCTTTATTCGTCAGGGTACACTTAATGGTCCATTGTTCATGCCGGTCAAGATTTATATTTTACATAATTAATTTAATCAATCAAAAATTATAAATATATGATCTTACCATTTATAAAAAATAACAATTTCAATAGAACTTTTGGATTGTAATTATTAGTCAGTACTTCATGAATATGTGATAAAATAAAAGAAACAATAGGCTAGGTACATGTTAGTCTGAAAAACAACACACCCTTATCGTCCATAACACTATTACAAACAGAGGTATGACAAACCTACATATATGTTGGGTCACTCAAAGGTGAATTGGTGACACATGGCTAGCTACACTGTTTTTTGCAAAGTATTTAAAAACATCTTTTCAATCAAATCTTAACTCTTTTAAGACGCTATTTAAATAAAATATGTACATCTACTTCATACTAATAATGTACACGTTATGAAAAATAAGTTTATGAATAAAGAAATTTATCATACCATTCTGTTATAATGTTGGAGTAAAATTCGTAGCCAGGGTTAAAATGTTTTCGTTGAATGCAAAAATAACTCTTTATCTCAGTAAGCAGGCCAAGGCTTCTTTCAATTAGCAAAATATTCACTAAAATGTCCCACTTTATACAGCAGTCATACAACATAGGCATTACCGTAACATTTTAATGTGTTTAAAATAAAAAAAGAAATAAATCTCAGTTTTTTATATTCCGGGAAAACATCTATTGTGTCTTAAATAACATAGTAGGGTTTGGTTTTACGATTTTATTTTCAATCTTGACCTCTCACTCTGTTGTTTCTACGAAAACTAAATACATACTTAATGAGCTCCCTGCAACATTAATTATCCAAATCCTTATATTTATTTCGTTCCTTTTCTATGTTTCTAGTATTTTATTTGTTATATACTTTAAGGTACATTCATTTAAATTTTTAATAAGAAGTTGTGTCGTATAAAAACATGTTAATAAAACTTTTTCTAATTTATAATAACTAGGGCGCATTTATAATCCGTTTAATTAAGTTGGGAAACTGGTGACGATTTGTTATTGTCTCAAAATTCTCAGATTAATTAAATTACGCAACAGTCCCTTGTAAGTTGATTCTGTTTTCCTAATCAATCACATTGTTTGAAGCCTTGATCATTAAAACTTGTTGAAATAAATGACGAATAATTTGGACGGCATAATTATGAGACCACCCGAACAGGATTCAATACCATTATTATATGCAAAAATCTATCCGATGATAAAGCTCTTTCTTTGTCTTATTACTCTATTAGAATTACATAAGAAATTTGAAAATTACTATCGTTTTAAAATTCTTTATTCTGAATTTAATTGTATAAATGAAAACTGCACACAGGGTAACATCTGTCTCAACATTGCTTCAATTAAAAAACATATCTATATATTGTAACTTTGGAAATTGTAATTCAGCCAGGTCTTACACTTATAATTCGAAGATGGTGTTAAATTTATTAATATTTGAAGTAATAAACTTTATATACTCCCATGTATTTTCCGTCTCAGAATCCTCGACACGAAAGGGTTAATTTACTTTTAATTATAAACTGGTCTGCTCCCAGCCCGTTTGTTTTTCAACCTTAAAGTTGATTTTGCGAAATGTCTCTTTGATTTAATAAATAATATTACGATTTTAATATAATGAATCAAAATGACATGTACCCAATTTATAATTAATTCTGTTTAATGAAATATTATTCGATAACACAACGAGATTAAAGATAATGTGATTTTTAAATTAATAATATAATTTTGTTATTTTAATATTCCCAGAAGAAAGCATAAATTACGTTTATTATGAATTATATATATATATATATATATATATATATATATATATATATATTATATATTTATTTCAGCCTTTATTTTTAAATTGAATAATAAATATTATTGAATTATCGAGTCATTGAAATAAACTTATAATACAGCTTAACAAAGTAAATATTATATGTATAGTGTTACAATTAAAGTTTTAATGGGCTAATTCCTTGGCAGATATTTCAACTGATTGATATTTCAATGTTGTATTCTCCAACTACTTATAAAACTTTAGGTGCAAAGATCCTTTAATATTACTAGCAATGAAAATAAGTTGCAACTTCGAAAGTTCTTTAGTTTTAAACTGCAATAACTTCAGCGGTAATGAAATTTATTAAACAAATTACCAGCCATACTGCCTGTTGGGGGTTGAAACAGCAACTTTAGATGCTCTCGAATGAGTAATAAATAAAAAGTTATTAAGTAATGTAGTTAACAAAACTTACTCATATTTACGAGTATAATGAATATAGAAATACAAAACTTTAAAAAAAGGTAAACAACTAAGACAAATAAAAATTAAAACATATTTAAATAGCGTGGCTTAAAATTAGCCCATTTAACGCCGCCGTACTTGGTTGTGTACACTTAATTTTTATATCCTAGCTTTTGCAGTGTAATAATAAAATAAGTTTCTGTAGGTAAAGCTATTTTATTATCATTTAGGATACCTAAAAGTTTTATCTTGATCATTAAACTAAAATATTTGTAAATTGGTAATCATTATTGTATATAACTACTCATAGTAAATAAGTAAATTACAGTATTGGTGAAAATTTATTCGGTGATTACTCAAAATAGGTACATAATAGGTACGCCAAGATGACTTCGTATAAATCGTCCGAAAATTGTAGTAGGTGAAGTAATTTATTTTTAGCTTATGTAATATAATCATGTGACAATTTTATATATTTTTTGTTCTTGTAATTATTTATATATTGAATTTAAAAAATCATGGATATTCTTATTTGTGATGAAGACATTAACTCTTTAGTTCTTTACATTCCTCCATGAATAATATAAAAAACATAAAAGGATTATTTTAATAATTCGACAAATCTCTCTTATTTCTTAAAATTCTCAGTTCCACAAATGTTCATTTCGTTTGTGTCCAAATTAAAGCCGTCCGACAACCCTGTACTCAACAAGCCATTATGAAATCGCAATAAGCCACAAATATACGCATATTGCTAAATACCAACGAACCATTACTATGTATACGTATAAAATAATTTAATCTTTCTAATATGTAATATAACTCTAAACATAATATATTTGTATTAATACACCTTTCTATCTACCTATCTATCAAATATTATAAAAACAATCTGTTTGATAATCTCATTGAATCTGAAAAATAATTTTTTAATAAATGTACCAATTATATTATCAAAGAGGGTGATTTTGAAACTAATAGTTTTATTCCGTTTTAGTTAATATGAAATAGATTTCCTTCAATAAAATACAACCTATTTTATTCAAAATTAACTTAATAATGAGATTGACTTATTTCATCCGATTTGTGGCGTGTGGTAATTAGTTTGTGCTTACTAGTAATGATAATCATAAATTATTATTATTCGCATACTATGCCAGGTCAATAAATATGATAACTAAGTTATGTAACCATAGAATATGTTGTATAAATAATATTCTCTCCGTCGCAATAAAGAAGGAAACAAAACATAGTAATTTTGATGTCCATAAACGAATAAAGTTAATTGCTTTACAGTACTTTTTAATTTAACGATTTTGTACGGTTGAAAGCATTTAAGATTTCATTGCATTCCTCGTCATTCAACCACACAGATTGTTTTACTAACTAGATATAATAAAAGCCGTTGCTAAAATGTTACTTTGCCTAATAGTTCTGTGTTTACTTAAACACGACTTGACTGTCGCTAAAGTCATTACATTAAAAACAATAGAATTCATATCTAATGCAAATCCTACGAGACTATCTATACACAAGCAGAGCGAAAAGGATCAAAATGATTTGTATCCCGAGGAGAATATTCTTGGAAGAGACGCGGAAAATAAAGTTACAGACATCGAGAACAACACTTTAGACAGAAACAAGGTACATACTGAGAAAAATGTGACAGTATCCAATGAAAAAGGAAATAGCGTTTTAAGCAAAGATGACATCACATCTTATAAAGTGCCAGAAATATATTTGTCAAAGAAAGATAACCATTTTGATCATGTCAAAAGATATGTGCCCATAAGTGAAGATATAAAAGTACCGGGATTTTTGGAGCAAGATTTAAATAGGAAAATTTTTAAAGACGGACTAAGATTGTTACCGTTCTTATAATAATCGTGTTGTTATTTATTTTGCGAATAGACAATTACAGAGTCTTTGACGTATGTGTTGTTTACCAGTTTAGATTTTAAATGAAACTAATATTTTTCGGATATAATAATTGTGCTTTATCTTTGTAAAAAACTTCATACTCTCGACGTTTCGGTTACATTTCATGTAGTTGTTTTACATAAACACAGCACGCGTAGTATATACGAAATAATACGAATGTTTGTTTCATTTAAGTGAATAAACTTTCGAAAGTCTTAGATCTCATCAGTTTAGATGTGTTATACTTTTTTTTAAATTAAAATAAATCACTTACTAATATAAAATAAATATGTTACAATAATGATAATAAAATTTCTTCATCATTTAAACTATTTTATTTAATTGTATTACATCGTTAGAGTTAATATATTTTTGCATGCTACAACAATTCATTTACCCATAATGCTTTTACATATTAAAAGCGGTAGCAAATTGCATTTTAACAGAAAATTTAAATTTGTGTAAAATAAATATAATTCTGAAACAAATTGCGTTGAGGCCGGTAACGTATTAATTTGTCAAGGTAATAAAATTATTCATACATTACTGCACACGTATTGTTTGATCGCTGGATTCATTGTTTGGGTTAATTATCGATATTTTAACATATTCGGTTTAAAACAACACTTTATGTAGCAATTTTCATTATAATTAATTTGAATGGAATATTTTCTTTACTTTCTTTAATCATTCTGTTTTATAGACGCTATATGTTCAATATTTTCAGTAACAAAAAGAATGTTTAAAATTCGTATGCTTGAATCTTATTTTTGTATAATTAATATTTAATTGGATTTTTATATAAGGTTTTCGTTGATACCTGAAAAAAGATTATGTATTTATAATTAATTGTTAAAATTGTTATGAATATATTTTCAGAAAGAAATTATGGACGTAAAACTAATTTTCAGACTCACGAGAATTGTATATATCGGATTTATTACAAATTCGTTGTTATAAAGAGAGAGAGACGCCAGCCTCGCTGACGTAACAAATGTCACTTCTTCTAGAGCGTTCCATGATATTTTAAAATGAAACATCAATTATTGTTCTTAATGCTCCTGTATTTATCGAAGGTTCTTCATAATCACATATTTCAATGATACGCACTCACTGAACTCTGAATTCTCAATTCTGAAGTCTCAATTCTGCCGTCGTGCATCCAGGCGTCATATTTATAACAAGATTTAAACATAGTTCAATTCTCCTTTTTAAACAACCTTTGATTTCGTTATACTTTTAACAATGATCATAAATACTAATGAGGTTTATTAAGAATTGATGATAGCCTCAAATTATTTTCATGTCGCATCCGTTTTTAAAGCTGATAGCGCCGATATATAGGTATTCAATGATGAATATGTCTCTATGTAACGTACTTTAGTAATTAAAATTAAGAAAGATCATTCACATACAGATTTTTTTTCCTGCCCTGATCCCACTTTATGTAGGGTCGGCACAGCATGTTCTCTTCAAAATAACATGTTGTAAAGAGTTTTGGCTAATAGTTTTTACGACATCAACCCTCTTTTGGGAATGCATTAATCAGGGATGTCTAAATACTCTTAAAAAGTACATATGACTCGGAAAAATCACATGCCCGGGCCAGGATCGAACCCGCGCCCTCGTGCATCCGTGGCAGGCCATTTAACCACTAGGCCACCACTGACTTTATTAAATAAAGAGGCAAAATAATGAGTATAATATTCTTTTCATAAAATTCATTCTGACTCAACTTTTTACTATTAAATATGTTTTTTTTGTTGCATTCCAGTCCAGAATTGTTTAATGCTATTTCAACCAATCGGAAGTTTTTTAAGCCATCGCTATTCCCAAGTTTCTTGTATTTCTTTTTAGGAATGGTTCTTGAAAAACTTTAGAAATATAGAAGCAACTTTTCGCTTTAAAATCATTTCTGTTTTAACATATTTCGAATAAAATTCCGCTATAATAAATTCAAATTCATCTTTTGTTTTTATATAAAATGTGTTTTAGAAGTTTTATAAATTATAATTGTTAGACATGTATCGCTTTCAGTACCTGGAAATCTTCGTGACTATTCTTTTTGACACAACACTCGAGTTTTAATAACAAATTTAATATCTATTTAACTATGTAATGTTATATTTAACATTTTTGTTTAAAACATCAGCCATGATAAGCAATTGAAATTTTGATGTTCCTATTCTTTTAAAAAATAATGAATCTGATCTCTCCTGTTCTGTTAACAAACCACAAACTAACCCGGTACCTACGACCAGAAAATAATGGTATTGTAACAGTCAAGTGCACTAATAAACTAACCGCAGATTAATTATAACACTCTTACAAAAACAGACAAAGCTAAGTCTGACCAAAAGTACTACGTTTTTATATGTTTCTAACCTAATTACTTTATGTCTATATTATGACTTATTTATATTTTTGACAAAATTTCAAATATGCTGATGATATTTTATAACTTATTATTTTATTTCGCTGTAATGCAATATGCATGCTAATAGAATTATCTATGATAGTATTTTGAATAAACAACAAAATACACGACGCTTAGGATTGCAGCATTTTATTATTCAGGTTTTTTTATCGTAAGTCTATATATTAAGTTATAATTATTATACAGCTTGGAATAACAACATTCTGTTGATAAATATGTTATAGTTTAAGTGCTTAACGGATTTTGTCTCACACATAAATGGTTGCATGATTCATAATCAAGGAATTTTTCTCATATAATCATAATCTCTTGGTACATAATAAATTAATCAATATTCAAAACAAAATATGATTAGACAGTGTTAAACTATTGGATGAATTCTCTATTTGAAAAGTTCGTTTTGTTATTGTTTCCGCAAGTGAGATATACGACAGCTAGAGTTGGCAAAAAAAATCTACAATCTTCAAATATTATTTCATACTAGAAGACCTGGCGAACTTCGTATCGCCCTATAATCAAGAAATATCTATTACGTTTTTTTATTTATATTTTTGGAGTTTACCTGTAAGCCATAAATCTCCGTGTTTTGAAGTGCGACAGAATGTTTGACATATTAGTTAGTTGTCAAATCTAATGTCAAAAAAAACGTTTGTATGGGAAATAGAAAAGGGCTGTTTTTATGGTTTTCCCAGTAATGAATCAATTTTTTTCAGCTTTTATACCTTCCCTGAACCTCCACAAACATTTCAAGACTAAGATAAGATAAATCTATTCAGCTGTTCTCGAGTTTTAGCGAGACTAAGGAACAGCAATCCATTTATATATATATAAAAGATAGAAGATTAATAGTAATAAATTAAGATCAAAATAATGTTAAGTGTTTTTGTAACGGCTCTGATTATTATTGATATCGCGTCAGAAGCTAATAACTGTGTATATTTATCGTCATACTTTCGTCAGTTACACGTATTTTCCCACGTTAGGGAACTGCAAGTACATCAAAGATGCATTTTCCATCGAATATGATAAATACCTTCTGTACCGTCTGTTTCCAAGTCTTTGTTATAAAAAATCTAGTTTCGTTTTAAATTTACGAAGCGGAAATTTTTAAAAGCTTTCCATATTTTATAGATGAATGGTCAATATGATAGTTTTTCGTATCGAATGGACCAAATTGTATTGCAGAACGTCCACTGTGGACACAAACAAAACACATTCGAGCGTCCGCTGTCGCATCGACCAAAAAGATAGTTGATCACACGACGTGTGTTGTTGACTTTTTATTTCAAACCTGTGACATAATTTTGTAGGTTTTCATAACTTTTAAGATCATTACCGCCTTAAAAACTTTTATAGTATTAATTCGAGTTTGGAACTGAAATGAGCTACTTAAATTTGATTACTAGATTTTTGTTTTAGTCGCAAATTTTTCATACAAACTCCTGTTACCCACCATAGTTTTATTTTTTATCTTTCTTTTTGTTTGCCTTTGTTTTTTCCAGAGAATAACAATTTCAATCTTACCTTACAGTGGGATTGCAAGAATAAGGTAATTTTTCATTAAGCTGGAAATAAAAGAAAATAATTTGGGACCACCTTGACAAAAATCATAATCATAAACAAAGGCATCGCTTCAAGTTCCGACTTATGTAACAAAACTTCTGAGTGCAAAATGATCACGCATTTTTTTGTGACTTTTTTGACTTTGTTTAACAAGAAAAAACTTAAATATTTTTATCGAAAGTTTTTCATCGTCACAATACACAAAGATTTATGAGTTTTTCATTTATAAATTTACGTTAATAAAATTATATGCAAAAATGATTCATGAAAAACTGGGAACGTGACGTGTGTAGTGCGATATTGCAAAACATATTGTAAGAGTAAACATAGTATTCTTTAATATTCATAATATAAGTGTAAGAGTCGAATTAGAACATAAATAATTAGATATTCTTTATCTCCTCAGTTTTAAGGAAGAAAGGACGTTTACGAAACAAGCTGCAAGGAAAATTTTCTTTCAACAATAAGAGTTATTTGAGCATCTTCCTCGTCATAATACGTTAAAAGTAAATAGTATTACATCGGCATTTTTTCCTATACCAGATAAATAAACCGGCGCCTGACCCATTAACTTGATGAGTTAGTTATTAATATACTGAAATAATTTTCATACCTTTTTTAATAAGTAGATAAATAGCGCAGATATCACACTCTCATAAATAAATTAATTAATAAAAACACAAGCATCAGGCTTATATACAGGGTAGGTTATTTAATCAAGTAGGTTTATTAAGTTCTGACCTTGACTCGAAGGGTGCAGTGTAATGCTGATCGATATCCTTAAATGTTATGAAATTAACACTTTGTTTATCAATCTAATTGCTTTTTAAAACTAATTAAGCTTTTCAGAAACACATTGTTATTTTATATTTTAAAAATAATCGATATTTTCGACACCTTAACGTAATTAAATACAGTTGAAGTTTTAATTTCTATTATAAAATACTACTATGTATTAATA